AACTGATAGGGCATTATCAGAAAGGATCGAAGGTAAAACCCTAAGGCCACAGACAGACATATCAAAGGTTAAGGTCTCAGATGTGCATGGCCATGGTAGGGAGGTGGAGGACTTTGCTGTCAAGAAGGCTGAGAAGAGCCCCAGCTATTGTAGGTCAGTAGATTGAGTGCGAGCCTGTGAACCAAAGGGTCGCCAGTTTGATTCCCAGTTGGTTCGATTCCCAGTAGGGGCACATGCCTGGGTTTTGGGCCAGGTCCCCAGTGGGGGTGACGTGAGAAGAAACCACACATTTATGTTTCTCTCCCTCTCTCTCCCTCCCTTCCCTTCTCTCTAAAAATAAATAAATAAAATCTTTAAAAGAAAATGAAGAAGAAGGCTGAGAAGACACAAAGCTATAGAATTTGATCAATAACTGCCATGGGTGCTGAAGTTACAGAGGGGGATAAACAGAGATGAAAAATGAGAGCCCCCTGCTGAAGTCCATGTGCATTATGGAAGTGGGTCCCAGAGAGTGGGAGCCAAAAGTGGGTAAGTTGTGAAAAGGTGATAGAAACAGTGGCAGGACCTTTCAAAGCACCATTCCCTTGCTCACCAAATATCTGCTGTTTGTGTATTCATGCAAGGCTTTGGGGATAGAAGCTATAGGATAGGGATGTAGAGAATAAAGAGGGAGGGGGTCGCTTGTTCTAGAAATGGCACTGATCCTTTTCCACAGAAACAGGGCAAGTTGGGCCTGTGGCAGGGCCAAAGGCAGGGAAAGTTAAGGCGTCCCTGATTGTGGTAGAGAATGGTTCTTATACTTTTCAGGGGGAGTCAGGTTCCAGTTAGGGCAAGCAGATTAGGGTAGTTTGGGGGGAAGACAAGAAAAATACATCTAAAGGATCACACCAAAGTTCAGTCCATGTAACTTTAGTTCCCCAAGATTTTAACAGATAACGTGATATTTTTAAGAGGATAAGATTATTCTGTAGTTTGGGAAATGTTCTCATGTGGTTGAGGGATATGCAATTTAATGAACATGGTAGATCTCAAAGAGGGGGCCTATAATATGTATAATTTCCCAAACTTGTCTGAGAGTAAAACCCCTTTTCCTGTTTTTGTTTTTTCATTCTCACCTGAGGACATTTTTTTCATTGCTTTTTAGAGAGAAAAAGGAAGGAAGAGAGAAACGTCAATGTGAGAGAGAAGCATCAATTGGTTGCCTCCCATGTGCACCCAGACTGGGGATCGTTGTCTCCTGCACCAGGGATCAAATCTGCAAACTAGGTATGTGCCCTGACGAGGAATCGAACCCACAGCCCTTTGACTATGGGACAACAGTCCAACCAGCTGAGTCACACTGGCCAGGGCTCCTTTTTCTTTCTTTTTTTAAAATCAATTCTTTATTTTTTTTCCATTACCATTTAGTCCCCTTATACTCCCACCCCCGGCAATCACCACACTGTTGTCCGTGTCCTTTTCTTTTTTGAGGATCACAACATGGGATTGTTGTTCCATGGAACACACACTGAGAGACACAGGTCTAGAGTACAGAAGACTGTGCCACAGCAGCATGGAGTTTCCCTGGGAACAATGTCCTTGTTGTTATCTCCCACAACAATGTTGGTGGGAGACAAGGTGGCAGAAAGGGACATCAGGAAGTGGCCAAAAGGAGGGTGTGAGCACACACTAAGATAACAGTAGTGCAATGGGCCCTGCACGAGACGGTTGTATAAAAGGGACAATGGGTACTGTGAGTGGGAGACATGATACACAAAGGAAGCCAGAGAGAGAGCAAAGGGGGAGGTTGTGAATGACAGAGCAGGATGGGGCCTGGCTGGAACGACAAAGGCTCCATGTGACACAGTCACAGATCCCATCACACAGGCGTGCACACGCCCACATGCAGAAGCAGCTGGGCTGCACTGGATTATACCAAACATGTGTTCCCATGGCAGCGCAGCATTCCTGTACCCTGGCCACACGAGGGGCACCAGCACAGGAGGGTGGGCGCAACCAACAGTTTTTTTCTCTGCTCACCACCTTCCTGCAGTGCTTTTTTCTCAGAAAGGAATGCAACTGCTACACTGCGTCATTTAATTCTGGGTTTCTTTATTTTGCCTTATTTTTGTATTTTGTCTTCTAAAAGCTCAGGATACAAGGAGCTTTTTTTGTTTGTTTTTTGTTTTTGTTTTTTAAATGCAGGCAGTCATCTCCCTGGTGCCCTCAGCATCCTTCCCAGGCACAGAAAGACAATGTTCTCTAAGCCCACGCAAAGATAAGACTTACCCCAGTCTGCCTGGCCAACATGGGTACACGGTCATGAGGCTGCACACTCCCAACCTCCTTGGTCCTGCTCTGGGAAGCATCTACCTGTTTCATGCCTGACTAACAGCCTTCCTGGCACCTTGCTTCTGGGTGCTCCATTAGGACAACTCCCTATACTTGGGAAGCTCTTCTCTAGGGCTGGCTGGGCCCTGCCCCAAAGGTCTGACTGAATTCACATGGGAAAAATAAATAAATAAATCACGAGCAATCAAGCAATCATCACCATGTCGAAGTGTACCATATCTGCATTCTCATACCCCAAAATGATGTGAAACAAGACGATGCTCAAAGACTATGTATTAAAGCCAGGAGGGCCTCCTGGAACAAGTAAAGTGGGAGCTGACTTGGAAAGTAAGAGAGGCTCAGATGGGAAGAAGGTGTGGGGAAGGCACTGCAGGTCGAAGAAGCATCAGACATGATGGAATGGGAGGATTAATTAGCAGGACATCCAGGGACATCAGGTTAAATAGGCTCAGAGCCATTAAGGAGAGAAAAAGACCTAAGCAGGCTCCCCAGAGGGCTGTGGGCCATGTCCTGGGAGCCTGGATTATGAGCAGCAGCAGAAGTAAGTCAGAAGCCCAGTGCTGCCCGGTTGGCCTTCAGACTTCTACTCAAGACATTCGCTCATGCTCAGCAAGCACTCAGATCCAAGTTTACAAAGGCTTTGCAGGCTATCTCACCTTCACCTCCACTCAGTAAAATCGCTGCCAAGTGATCCTGCCAAGGGATGATCAGTCTGTGCTTCAACATCTTCAGTGACAGGGGCTCACTACCTAACAGACATGCACATACCTAACACTAATAATGCGAATGGGAAGCTTCCAGGTCAATTTCCTCTAACAGCAACAACAGTAAAATACAAGTATTATTATTATTACTACTACTAATCACAATACTATGGAATGCACATAGTACCTTATGAAGCTTACACACTCCCATCTCATACTCTGCCCTCACCTCCCATCCCAACAGTCTGCATCGTTGGACTTGCTTCTTCCCTCTGGTCAGGTGGGAGACACCTATTGCATGGTTTCTCCTCCCCGCTCCTTTCTCTCCATTTTGGCAGTTGCCCATTAGCGAGGCAGCACTGCCTGTGGAGTAAACCCCTGCACTGACCCTGGGACTGTACTGACTCTCTCCCTGTGATTCCACCGCCATTCCTTGTAGATGACCAGGCTCATCCAGAAACGAAAGCTCAGTCCATGAAGCTTAAGCCCTTGGGCATGTTTCTTTAAATGTGATCCTTGGCTATTCACAATGCCATTGCCCCAGCCCCTGCCAGAGATTCTGACCCAGGAGGCCTGAATGAAGCCCTGGAACTGGCACCTGGAGTGATGCTGGTGTACCTTATAGTTTGGCTTCAATTACATCAGCAGTCATCAAGCTCTTTCTTAAAGTACCATTGAGTAAATATTTTAGGCTGGGGGCCATCTATCTCTGCTAGAACCATTCAACTCTATTGTTGTAGTGGCAAAGAAACCATTGACAACACTTGTAGGAGACTGAACAATGTAGTAGACCATAAACATACCTGATCCCTGGAACCTGTAAATGTTACCTTATTTGGAAAAAAAATCTTTGCAGATATAATTAAGAATCTTGTGGTGGGAAGATTATCCTGGGTTATCAGAGGGGCCCTAAAGGCAGTCACAGGCATCCTCGCTCTGAGGCAGAAAGAGATGTGACAGACAGAATTGCAGAAGGCAATGTGACCATGGAGGTGGAGATGGGAATGATGCGGCCACAAGCTAGGGAATGCTGACAGCCACCAGAGCTGGAAAAGGCAAGAAACAATTTTTCCTCTAGAGCTTTGGAGTTAGCACATCCCTGCTGATACATTGATTTCAGCCCAGTAAACTTATTTTGAACTTCTTACCTCCGTAACTGTGAGAGAATAAATATCTGTTGTTGTGAGTCAGCACATCTGGGCAACTTGTTACAGTGCCAATAGGAAACTAATACACTACCTAAACACATTCACATGGTTGTATTCTAATCAAACTTTATTTACAAAAAGCAGGTGGTTGACCTGTAGTGAAATACAGGCTATAGTTTGCTGACCCCTGAATTACACTTTAAAAGGTCCAGGTGCACAAGATGGGCTGGTGAGAGAATTCAGAAATAAATACTTGGAAGTCATTATTCAGGATAATAGATAGAAACACTCACTTGAGTACCCTTTGAGAGGAAGGAGAGAAAAGAAGGAGCCAGAAAAAAATTTTAACATCCCATCTATAACCCACTCTGAGGTGAACCCAAATAAAACCTCTGAGAATTATGAAGTGGACAGACTCCTCCAGCTGGAGCATCTCTCAGAGGGGCTTGGGAGGGCAGGCAGGGTGAGGTATATGTGTGTGGGGTGTGTGTGAGGTGTGTGTGGGGGGGTGTGAGGTATATGTATGTGGGGGGGGTGTAAGGTGTGTGTGGGGGGGTGTGAGGTATGTGTGGGGGGTGTGAGGTGTTTGTGGGGGGGCACCCACCTATGGTAGTAAACATCCCCCAGAACACTCAGCTGGGTCCAGAGCTCTCCCTTCTCTTTCTGCCTCCTTCTGTAGAGAGGAAGCAGCTGCTCTGAGTGTGAATTCCACTCTCGCTTATCTCTCACTAACCCACAGAGAAGTGAGTGCCAGGCATGTGCACACACACACAACTTCTCTGGGTCCATTATGGAGGACAGTTCCACAGACACTCACCAGAAACGAAGGCCACTTTTTCCTTTAGGATGGGAAGGACATCAGAAGCTTTCAAACCATCATTCCGAAAAGAACCTGTGAGAACAACAAAACAGAGGAATCAGGGTGAAAGAGGCCAGGCGGCTGAATCCCTGGCTCCCATCCTCAGGGTCCCAACCCCATCACGTGTTGTTCAGGCCCCACAGCCCAGCCCAGTGGAACAGGAGGGGGTCCGCAACAGAAGGAACACCTCCACACGTTGCCAGGCCACGGGGGGACAAGGAGAAGACAGCCCAAGTCACTCCCTCTACGTATTCAAAGGTCTATGACCTGGAGGCAAAAACTACAGCCCTGTTTCTGTGAACCTGAAGACAGGGGCTTTTTAAAATGTAATTGTTGTGCTTGTTGTGCTACCACAGTGTCTGGTACACGGTAAACACTCAATAAATATCTGTTGAGTAGGTTAGTTGATATCAAGACGGATCACAGTTCCCTAAATGATTCTATTTGCCTTTCCTCTGTGTGGCACAGCACCTGTTCATCTTTACTTTACCAATGGGAAAAAGAAACCATGAAAACCCCCAACTGGAAAGAAAAATTGAATGTAATATCCCTTTTCACTTTTGTCTCCCTCCCCTTCAAAGTCACCATCATCAGTGCACAACAAATACGAGGTAGGAGACACAAATCTCCTGGGAAGAAAGAGTACTCCCTTCTTCAGCAATTTGTTCTCTGCTTACATCTTGCTTCTATGTTGAAAAGTCCTTTCTGGGGTCTAGTTGAGTTCCTGTTAGGAGGCTGGAGGCAGAGGCATGGGGCCCACACAGAATGGAAGATAACCATGTGCCTGGAGAAACAGTAGCCTCAGGAGGCAAAGAACAACCCAGCTAGGGGTGAGATGCATAGGAAGGGTGGAGCCAGCATCCACACACAAGTAAAACCCCAGTCCAGCCCACTGTGTCCCTATCATTTAACCTGAATACCCCTGTAGAACTCTCCAGGAAAGCCAGCCCACACTCAGCTCACCACAGGGGACATGGCACAGATGGACCCTGGAAGAGAGGCAGCTCTGTGTCAGCTCAGTGAGCCAGAACCAGAGACACGGACACTCCCTCTAGTGCCTTCCAGTACTTGGCTTACTCCCTTACAGTACAGATGTGATAGTCTACAGAGGGAGAAATGTGCTGAGCAGGACATTCTCACTCAGGCTTGTCTCAATCTCTAAACACTGACTACTTTGAGAGATCCAAAATTACTGGGAATTTTGACAACAACCCCGGATTAAGATGATTGGCCTAGGGAAAGGGAATGAGGCCATGGCACACTCAGCCAAAGAACAGAAGTGATGTGTCCCCAGAATGCCAGTTGCCATGTCAGATGTCACACCCTAACCCAAAACAAATTTCCTAAGTGTATCTGACAGTTTTTCACTAAATGACGACAGTGAGCCTTTTTATTCATCAGTTGCTTCTCTTTGCAAGTTGGCCCATCGAACCCACTGCAAGGCTCGCTGTGGGAAGGGCAATAGAAGAAAATCACACCACGAAAAGCAACTTTTAATTATAAGCATTGTTTTCCACTTTCTCTCCTTAGTTTCTACAGGTCTTTATGCTCTGACTTTATCTTCCAACACAGAAAAGCTTTTAAACCTCACTAGTAGAAATAGGATCAATGTAAATTATTATACAAATAACAAATACATACAAAGGGCCTTTTTTTACCCTCATGCAATAAATTTCAGTTCCCTTGGTAAACAAAAAAAGAGTCCTATCAGGCCTTACCAACTAGACAAGTATCATCTTTAATTAATATATGAATTGCTTGTGTAAAATTATGCTTCTGCATCAAAATAGTTTACTTTCATATATGAAATGTCTTCCTATATGTCAGTTGTAAAACATTCTCTCCTGCATCACTGTGCATGCTATTCATTTCTATATGCTATACATTCTACAAGCTATAGCATTTCTATGTGCTATATGCTTTCATTCTGTATGCTGTACAGAAAAAAATTTAACATGAAAATCTAAACTTCAGCCTTGTCTTCTTTCAGATTATACACAAGTTCAAAAACAGCAAGGCCCCAACTAATCAGATTTTACCATACAACAAGAACCCATATAACCCTCTTCTCTCCTAAACTCCTGTCCTCTTTTTCTACTGCTCTTCCTCTCCTCCCCTACTGTGTTAAAGTATACAAGAGAGCGCTAATCCCACAAAGACCCTGGACCTTAAGGAAGAATTTGGAATTTGCTATAACAGAAGCCAAAGGTGCCCTATCCTACTCCCTTCTCGATCCCACCCATGGAAAAGGAGAGGGAGCTCCAAATCTCATCCTTTGCACCCCACTCATCATGCCCACCATGTCCTTCTCCCCTCCAGGCTCCAGGACCCTAGAGAAGGGAGCAGCCTGTCCATGCAGCTGGCAATCATGGGCTCCAGTAAATGTCAATATCTTGGGATGGGCTGTTCTAAGATTCCTACGGCTTCCACTTCCCAGGCCAGAGTCTTCCCCCATCCAATTCACACCACCACTGTGCTATCTGCCAGGCTGTGCCCACTCAAAGATACCCTAAAATTTCCAGACTTACAAGATCCTTAACTAGGCAACAATCATTTCCAACAACAATAACAAGATTTTTCACATTACAAAAGGAGTTGCTCCAGTATCTCTTTAAATAAAAGCTGCCTTAGTGGTTTGAATTAGTTTTTCATTTTCCAAAAACTGAAGTACAAATAACTTTTCAACAATATGAGGCCTGTCCAGAAGGTATCCAGCCATGTAATATGAAAAACAGAGACATTTATTGAAGATACAAGATATAAGAAACATTGTACATAGGATAATGATGTCTCAGTCCCCTTCAAAGTAGGCACCTAGGGACCTCACACAGTTCTCCCAGTTGCTGTCAGCTGCCCTATCATATTTTCCCAAATCTCATCAACAGTCTGAAATCTCTTCCATTTCAAAGGTGATTTTAGTTTTGGAAAAAAACAGAAGTCATAGGGCACCAAATCTGGGCTGCAGGGGGGTTGAATCACCTGGGTGATTTGACATTTTGCCAAAAAACTCTGTGTGAGACATGATGCTTGAGTGAGCGTGTAAGCTGTGATGAAGCTGCCAATCAATGGTTGCCCATAGCTGTGGCCTTACTGAATCATCCAAATAGTTTCCATGGAGGAATGTTCAAGCTTAACACCAAATCTGATGCAGATTCAGTGCTCTACTTGCTCAGTCATTTTGAATGCAATGGCCACACAGTGAATATGATCATTCAACAGCATCTACCACCCCCACTGACTAGTACAGTGAAGTCATCATTACTCACGCATGTGCATTCCAATCCATTGTCCTTGGTTGCCAGGTTACATGGAACATGGATGTCACACAAACTGTTCTCATTATATTAACAATGGCTGAACTTTTTCCAGACAAACCTTGTATATGTATTAGGTAAAGCCAAATAGAGCTAAATTAATTACCCTCACTTATAAATTGGTGACCTCGCATTGAAAACCTATTTGCACTGGCTGAAGATCCTGTGTATCAATTCCCCTAGGGCCCTTGTAAAACCAGCTGTCAGAACCTATAATAAAAGGGAAGTCCATTGAATGCTAACTCAAACAGGACCAATAAAAGAGCAACATGTTTTCACTATCAGGTACATGTATGGGCAGACTTTTAGTATATGGTCAATAAATGTTTGATGAATTAATAAATAAGTGAATGAATTGTTAACCCTTCCTAAAGTGACTTGCACAAGGTCAATAGCCTCATCTGTCGCAGCAAGTGCTGGTGATCTGAGTAGATGATCTCCAAAGTACCACTTAGCTCTGAGACTTCTCAAATCTTTTCTTCACATTCATTAGCCTTTAAGATCCTCAGATTATCATCAGATCAATATGCTTTGAAAGGAAATACTGGGAACAAATTCCCTAATGAGAGTCAGTGTACTTTAGGAAGCTAAAACAACTCTTCCCTGGCCTCCCAGCCCATTCGTCCCCAGGAATCAGGTTAGGAATTGTGATGCCCAAGGCATGTCACCCCATTTTGCAGGTAGCCCCAGTTACCAAAATGGGAGGCTAGTAATGGAAGACTCTCTGTGAGGCAGACTTGGACTGCAACTGAGATCTCTGATATAAGGGATATAATTTGATATCACAGATTATAAACTCGAGACCAGCCATACACCAATGTCCCCTTCTAAAAGAAAAGCCCGCTGTAGCAGTAGCAGTAGGCCCCTTGCTACCTCTAAAGAAAGCCCAAGAGGAAATAAATCCCCTAAATGCTGGGAGTTACTGCAAGGGAAAAAAAAAAAAGAACCCGAGGGCACCCTCATGGATCCGACCCAATGTGAGTGCTATGTTTTCTCTTAAGGACAAAGGCATGCTCTGCTGGCGTTCAGCGCCAATCCCACACCATTCAAGTCCTGCTGCTGGCAGAATTATAAGCCTGCTGTTCCCATTAATTAGCAAAGTTGAAATGCTCTGCATCTATTAGGGAAGTAAAAATTACCATTGCCATCTCCCCAGGTTCTCCAGCATGGGTCTTCTCCAAGCCCCACTTCTGCCAACTTCCTGTTCCAAACGCACTGTGCTTACATTGCTGCTGCCTGTTCCTCTTCACATTTTCCTGTCGCCATTCCCTATGCTGGAAAACGCCAACCATCCTCACTCTGGCTCTCTGCAGCCCCACATGGTAACAGCAGGACTGGCCTTGGTATCACACAGTCCCTGTCCATGATTTTGTGGCTCTAGGATGGCAGTGAGTCCCCCAGGGCAGCTGGGTGCCTTGTGCTAACCATGCTAACTTCTTTCAGAAAGCAATCTTGATTTCAACAAGTGAAGAAACAAACAAGTAAAGGTTGATCACTTGGAAGTGCAAGCTGCCAGGGAACCCACGGATTGCTCTTTACTTCCTTTGGTTTTCAGTCATTTTCCCTTAATTTGCACTTATTTCGAAGTAACCAAGTAAATATTTCAATGTTGCTTCAAGCAGGCCTAGACCCTGTTTTACCACTGAGACGGTAAATAGCCCCATGCTCAAGTCTCTGCCTCTGTTTTCCACTCTGTCCTTGTGGTATCCAGCATGGAGC